TGTATTGGCCTCTGTCAAGTCCAACTTTCAGTTAATAAACTGAACAGAAACAAACATACTGACAGATCAATAAAACCAAAACCTTGTTCATTATAAAAGCTAACAAATAGGCAAACTTTTGCCAAGATGGAATGAGAATTAAAGAGAATTCACAAACGAATATAAATGAAAATTTCAACATAACTAGATACAGAAGAGATGCAAAGTTAATATCTATAATTTGATGTCAGTAAATGTAAATTACTAGAAAAACAGCCTACCAAAACTCGCTGAATAACACAGAAAGCAGTGTGATCCACATGCTATCTTCTGCAGTAAGTTGCTAACCACTCAAGGCTTGCTGCCCACCCCTGGAATACCTATGGGGGATCGGGGTTGCCAAACTGCTAGCCACCCTCGCTAATCCTGCCGGATGGGCATGATTTCACCGTTACCAGACTGTGTCCAGATAGTCTGGACCTCTTCAGACTGTATTATGGCAAACCTGGGGTAAACTGTGAATGTGTAATGTTGTCTGCTCTATGGTAATGCATTCTCCAGGAGTTGCTGGGCTTCTATAAAGCCTAAACTACTGAGGTAGACAGTGGTGTGACAGGAAGCCTACCAATATACTCTTTAGGTGTTTAGAATAGCACTAATCTTGGGGCGCCTGGGTGGCTTAGTTGGTTAAGCGTCCGACTTTCGCTTAGGTCATGATCTCGCGGTTCGTGGGTTCGAGCCCCGCGTCGGTCTCTGTGCTGGCTGCCAGCTCAGAGCCTGGAGCCTATTTCGGGGTCTGTGTCTCCCTCTCTCTCTGACCCCCCACCCCTGCTCACGCTGTCTCTCTCTCTCTCTCCTAGAAATAGTTTTTTTAGAATAGCACTAATCTCTGCCACACTTTCCCCCACACCCTCCCAACACCCTCCCCCAAGTGCAGTGTTGGTTTTTATTACTATCCTACCTGGGGAGTAAGTTCCAGAGCCTTCCATCTTGCCGTCCCCACTATGGTGGCCCTTAGCCAGTGTGGGGGTTATTCCAATTGCCAACAATGTCAATCTGTCCAACAGCACGGAGTCTCTCTCACTAGGGCTGATTTGGTTACTGCCATCGCTGAATGTCCAAAATCAGAGACCAGGGCTGAGCCCCCAGTACAGCAACATTCCCTGAAGAGACTAACTGGCACTTGGTGTCAAGTTCTCTATTTTGGCCCTGAAAAGGCCACTGTTTGTTCTCACAAGAAAAAAAAAATCCAGGTATGGGTTCTCTTTTTTGCCCACAGGGCCCCAGCCACCACTATCCAAAGGCTTACGAAATGGTTGAATAGTATGGGATCCCTCATAGAACACTGTATCAGACCAGAAGGAACCACTTTGCAGCAAAGGGGTGGGGGGTGCAAGAATAAGTCCAGTACAAAAGGACCATTTGATATATTATGTAACTCACTTGACGGTAGCTGCTGATACACTAGAGCAGAGGAACGGCCTAGGGAAGGCACAGCTGAAAGCCCCAGCTCAGAAGCAATGTTCTGTAGGGAAAGGGTGCCATCCTTCGAAATGCAGCTTATGAGTTAGATGAGACCTTTTGTGATGATGTGTCCCCAAAGCAGAAGACGCAGGTCCAGGTACATGTGGAAGCAGGGATGGCCTCACCTATGGCCACCATTACCAATGATTACCTCCAGGGTGCTTTGTGCTTCCCATACACACAACTCTGGGCTCTGCGGGGTTAGAAGTCTTGATCTGCAAAGAGAACACACTTTTCACCAGGAAACAGCAAGTTTCCTACTTAATTGCAAGCTCCAGGTATGATGTGGGCATTGTGCTCCTTGTGTCCAGAAGGGCAGAAGAGGAATCACTCTTTTTGCAGGGGTACTTGACGCATCACAAGGAGGATGCAGGGCTGATTATACAACAGGGTGAGGAGGAAGGAATGGATTCAGGTGATACGCTCAGGTGCTTCTTGCAACTTTCTTACCCACTTGTGATGGTAAATGCACAGATACAGCAACTAGGTCTGAAGAGGGCATGGCAACCATGGCTCAGACCTCTCAGGAAGGGGGTGAGCCACCAATGCCAGCAGAGGTGGTAACTGTGAAGAGGCCCCAGAATGGCTCACAGGTGAGAGACAACGACAGCATCAGTAGGGACCAGTTTGTTTCCTCAGGCTCTCCTCAGACAGACCTATAAGCTGGGAAAACTGAGCTTAGCAGTGGAAGGGATGGACTGTGGCCACCCAACCCTCTCCAGTGAAGGACTTGCTGTCCAGTAGCAGGGGGTGGTCAGCTCAATGTCTCCAGTTGCTGGCATCTGTGGAGTTGGCCTCAGCTAAATAGAGTGGATTCACCCAGGATGATCCCCTTCCCAGGGCAGCAGGCCTCTGGTGACAGAGCTCCTCGGGGCTCTGGAGACCCTCATGAGCAGCACTTCCTTCAGAGCTCCCTGCTGGTGTGGTCAGCATCTCAACAGCCGCAGCGCAGCCTGACTTCTGCCTCTGACCTGCCTTGTCCTATTTACTCTCCCATTGCCCTTAGCCCACAGTTGCTGATCTCAATAAACACCTTGCACTCCAAACTTCATCTCAGGCTCTGCTTCCAGAGAACCCGGCCTGCAGCATAGCCTAACCTCCTGTATTAGGAACATGTGGGTTGTAAGTAACAAAGGCAACTTGAAACAAGCATGAGAATTTATTAGAAGGGCATTTGGGATATCTCACAGAAGAATGCAACAATCAAGGCATGAAAAGGGCAGAGGTGAATCTGGACATTAGGACACGAACCAGGTCCTGGAACAAGCTTCCAGGCTTCACTCTTCTCCCTCACTGCAGACTATGTTTCCCTATGTGGCAGAAAGCAGCCAACGAGAGCAACCACATTCATAGATTACAGCCTCAGTTGCTAAAATATTATAGAATAACAAGATAGTCCCAGGTTTCCAAAAGGTTTCTAATGGAAAAGACAAGACATGCGATGATTATATTACCACATCGACAAACACGTGTGCAGCTTCATAAAGGATAGACAGGCATTAATAAGGAACATGGGATGGGCACTTCAGGGACAGGAGATTCATAAAAGGCATGAGACTGTAGAAATCTCAAGGAACTGCAAGTGGTTCAAGGAGGCCAAAAAGTACTGTGCAGGAGGAAAGATATTCAGAAACGATGGATAGGTTGGATTCGTATAGAAGTCCTCATTAAGTCCTGCTATTTCAACACGAAGTGTATAATCAGAATTGCATCTTAAAATAACCACTGTGTATAAATAACTACTGTGTGGAAAATGGACTAAAATAGAACAAAGGCAAAGTGCAAAAAATTGTACATACAGCTATCAGGGCCATGGTTGTGTTTCTCATCAGCACTTAGGCCAGACGAGGTGCTGAGCGTCTGGCAGCTTGTTGGTATCCTACCTGTAGACTCATGAGCCCAGCAGGGCTGACAACCTGAGCATATGCTGCTGGAACAAATGGCAAATGAGGGAAGCCTCAGGAACAGATCCCAAATGCCCACTGATCTATATTCTTCTATTGGTCCAGGTATTGCTGGATAAATTAGATATTCTTTTTTTTTTTTTTTTTTTTTTTTATTTCTAGGAGAGAGAGAGACAGCGTGAGCAGGGGAGGGTCAGAGAGAGAGGGAGTCACAGACTGAAACAGGCTCCAGGCTCTGAGCTGGCTGTCAGCACAGAGCCCGACGCGGGGCTCGAACCCACGAACCGTGAGATCATGACCAGAGCTGAAGTCGGACGCTCAACCGACTGAGCCCCCCAGGTACCTCGGAAGTTAGATACGTGTAAAACTACCATCCCAGTGCAGTGAATTACAAAATTACTCTCATTGAAGTCCCAATTTTTTAACACTGTTGTAAAATTGGTAATTACAGTAAAGAATACTGAGACTCAAAGGTACTGACAAAGCAACTTGTGCATGAGAAAAGTCTTGGTTTTTCCAAGTTTGGTATCGAGGTCAGGACTTTTCTGGATTCACCATCATACAAAGAATACTGTAGACTTTGTCAAGAACCATTATAGAGATCACTGCAAAGTTCACCTGAGCTAAGGGGTGGTTCACGCATTGTCAAAGCGAACCCTACAATGAAAGGTTCACAATGGGAACTGCCGTGTGCAGGGTACAGCTGGTGAAGGAAGGCAAAGCACTTCAAATGACGCAGATACTTCAAATGACGCAGCAGTGAAAGGCCTATTTCCTAATACCTGTCCAGTCATCACAGAAATATGCAGGAAGGTAAAACAGGCTTCCTTGAGAACATCAAAAATGTATTTCTCAGCACAAAAAATCTACACACTTTCTGAAACGGAGGCTCTTCAATAACTGGAAAACCTCCTAGTTTTTCCAAAAAATATGTTATGAAACACCGAAAACATAACAGCACACAGCATCATATTTCAACAGAGTAACTTTTTAAAAAAAATGTTTATTTATTATTGAGAGACAGAGAGACACAGAGCATGAGCAGGGGTGGGGCAGAGAGAGGGGGAGACAGAGACTCTGAAGCAGCTCCAGGCTCTGAGCTGTCAACACAGAGCCCAATGAGGCGCTTCAACTCACGGAGTGTGAGAACATGACCTGAGCTGAAGTCGAATGCTTAACTGACTGAGCTATCCAGGCGCCCTTCAACAGAATAACTTAAATATAGGCTGTACTTTGCACACAGCACGATGTACGTACACTAGATGCACAAAGGCACCAAACTGAATGAGAACAACACTTGGACAGCACTGCTGTCATTTAGCTTGAGTGCTGTGTGATAGAGTTCACACACCTTTCTTTTGCTCACTCAGTACATCATGAGTCACTATTGCGGTTTTGTGTCCCTGTCTTTGAATACTTACTAACCAGATTTTAGATAAGTTGTTTCTGATTCTCAGATTGCAGACTTTGTATATTGGCTTTTATAAAAAAAGAGAAACATTAGCAACCACAGACTCCTTTTATACGCCAACAAGCCAAAAGGAAAAAGAGATGCAGTGTTATTACTTAAGCTGCATACTTAGCAATAAGACATGTTATACCAATTACCATTTTAATCGTATCACTAAAACAGAAAAACCAGCGGCATGTGATTATGTCTTGACATCAGAAGCACAACTACATATGTGCATTTCATGCTCACAATTACATCATCATATGTGATTCCAAAATATGAGACACACTGTGTGACACAGGAAAGTAAACCATAAATACCACTGAGAAATGTCTTATTTAGATGTTTCAATGACTCAATTTATTCACATATTTTTAAAACTTCATATTTTAGAGTGAACAACTCAATCATTAGCATGGGTATTTTTAATAACCATGTCTATAAAAAAATGTATGGCTTCCCTTTACAGCCTTATTTCTAGGGGCACGTTTCCCATTTCTTTCAATCATTAGTTTTTACCCACAATATAATTCCCCTCCAAAACAATATGGTTGGATTACCTGCTGAAGACTGTCCCATAATTATTATTTTCACAGAGCTTCATTCCTCAGGGTATTTTCTTAATGCACAATAAGCTGTGAGTTCTTGATGAAAATATTACCTCACTTGCTGCATTCATGGGATTTTTTATTTGCTGGACCAGGGTTTACCCTAGTGGGCATATTTCCAATACCTGATGAGATATGGCCTCTGCAAGGCTTTCTGATGTTCGCAGAATTCGTCTTTGTTGTTAATTTCCTAGTGTATGTTTGCCAAGCTTTTAAAACCCACTGAATCTCATAGGCTCATTCTACTCCATGAGTTCTTATATAAGCATGTTAATCGGCTGAAAGCTTTCCCTACATAACCTCATTTAGAGTTCCTACCCTAAAAGATTACTCAGACCTATAATGTGATGTGACTATTTATTTGAAAGGCTTACCATAACTGCATTTTCTGAAGTACAAAGACTAATAGTAACTCTACTTCTACGATTTCTTTACTGTATGAGTTCTCTGGTGATTAATGAGCTGTGATTTCTGGGAGAAAGCTTTCCCACATTCATGGCATTGGTAAGGTTTCTCTCCTGTATGAATTCTCTGGTGATTAACAAGCTGTGACTTCTGAGAGAAGGCCTTCCTACATTCACTGCATCCATAGGGCTTCTCCCCAGTGTGTGTTCTCTGATGTGGTATGAGGTGTGACTTCCGAGAGAAGGCCTTTCCACATTCGTTGCATTCAAAGGGTTTCTCTCCTGTATGTGTTCTCTGATGATTGATGAGACTTGACTTCTCCCTGAAGGCTTTACCACATTCGCTGCATTCATAAGGTTTTTCTCCTGTGTGAGTTCTCTGATGTCTAATTAGCTCCGATTTCTCAAAGAACGCTTTCCTGCAAAGACTGCATTCGTATGGTTTCTCTCCTGTGTGGATTCTCTGGTGAGTATTGAGCTGTGACTTCTGGGAGAAGGCTTTTTCACAATCCCTGCACCCAAATGGTTTCTCTCCTGTATGAGTTCTCTGGTGAGTTGCAAGACTGGACTTCTCACCAAAAGCTTTCCCACATTCAGTGCATTCATAGGGCTTCTCTCCTGTATGAGTCCTCTGATGGTTAATGAGACTTGACCTCTCTCTGAATGCCTTCTGACATAAACTGCATTCATAGGGCTTCTCTCCAGTATGAATTGTCTGATGTCTAATGAGCTCTGATTTCTCAAAGAAGGCTTTTCTACAATCATTGCACCCATACGGTTTTGTTCCTGTGTGAGTCCTGTGATGCGTAACGAGTTGTGATTTCCTGCTGAAGGCTTTCCCACATTCTCTGCATTCAAAAGGTTTCTCTCCTGTATGAATTCTCTGATGATTAATAAGATTTGACTTCTCACTAAAGGCCCTTCCGCATTCGTTGCACCCATAAGGTTTCTCACCTGTGTGTGTCCTCCAGTGTGATATAAGATGGGACTTCCGGGAGAAGGCTTTCCCACATTCACCACATTCATAGGGTTTCTCTCCTGTGTGTGTCCTCTGATGGGATGTGAGCTGTGACTTTTGGGAGAAGGCTTTCCCACACTGGCTACAATTGTAAGGTTTCTCTCCTGTGTGAGTCCTGTGATGTGTAACAAACTGTGACTTCTGGGGAAAGGTTTTGCCACACTTACCACAGCCATAGGCTATCTCTCTTATGTGTCTGCTCTGATGTTTAATGAGACTTGATCTCTTAGTGAAGCGTTTCCTACATTCACTGCATTCATAGAGTTTCTCCCCTAGACGATTTCGGTGAAATATGATAATCTGTGACTTCTTAGCGCTAATTTTATCATATTTATCATATTCATAGTATTTTAACCAAGTATCCGCTTCCTCAGGCTTGGTATGGAGAAACAACTTATCAAATACACTTAAGCCATCTGGTTCTGTTTTTCCATAATCTGCTTTTGGAATAAGTAAATCTAAGTGATGTTTTAAAAATAATCCATCAACATTATCTTCACTGTTTGATTTCCTTAAAGGATCTAAGTTCATGCTCAGATTGAGTTTTTTCCCAAATGCATCACATTCATGATCCTGTTTCAGATTTCTAAGCTTCTCATGGCCATCCTGGTGCCAAGCCATGTGACCATTTCCTTGCAAGACATGTTCTACAAAGAAAGAAAAACCTATGAATACTTCTGTGGTTGTCTTTCCTGAATTAAAAAAACAAAAAACAAAAAACAAAAAAAAACTATGCTATTTAAGGGGATGAATGCTTGGGACCGTCATTTCCCAGTCCCAGGTATAAGGTCTATATTCTAGGTACTGGTGAAAAAAAGAAAATAAAATGTTATAAACAGGAATGAGATACAGGCAGTATATTAAGTCACCTCTGGTTGTGGTCAAATGTAAGTTTATACAATGGAGAGAGAATGTAAAAAATGTATCAAGAGCAATGAGGAAAAAAGAAGGGAGGCTGGAAGAAGCACTGATCCAATATTGTGAGAAACTCATTTCCTCAACACCTACTGAGTACACACACCATGCCCCAGGTGGAGCATGAGGCGCCAGAGACAGGAAGCAATAAGCCCGACCTTGTGCAACTTAATTCTAATGGAAAAGGAAACAAATAGAGAAAATCATTTTTACTTTTTCCCATTTTTAAATTTTCTGAAAGTTTTAAACTTACCAAATACATTTTCAGCATTATCACTAAGAGAGCCATTACATGGAGCACACCAGTTTTCATGTAACATGTTCAGGCACAAAACTTTACAATCCAGGTGTTCCTTCACTGAAAATATCCTAAGATACAAGTTCCCATTCTTAAATATTCTCAATTTGCCCTTTATTATATACCTCTATTGTCATTATTCTCACAACATAACCAGTTAATGCACTGTCATAAGTGTTCTTCATAAGGCTTATTTTTCACTAGTAATCAGTATTTGGAATTTTTCCTTGAGCTCTTACCCAAGGGTATGAAAGCCAATCAGTAATATGAAAAACTTTACTTAAACGTCAATCAAGAGTATAAATTTGAAGGAAACCCACTACTTACTGTTGGCCATATCTATTCGGGAGGTAGAGCCAACAAGATTTGCTGATGGATTTGACATGGAAGGGATAAGGGAAAGCAAGGAATCCAGAATGATCCCTAGAACTGGGGTCTGAGCAATTCTGTGGATTATGGTGTTAATTAGTGAGTTGGGAAGACTGAGGGAAAAAGAGGTCTGGGGATTAAAATCAAAAGTCTACCACAGAAATATTAGCTTTGAGATGTAGGTTAGGACTTTGAATAAAGTGTAATAGGAAGTGTGAGAACAGAAAATGAGTATTTATAATTAAACTTATGTTACTTTAAGTGTTATATTGTTAAACTAAGTACTCATTTGGAAATTGTATCTAACTTCCTCCAATTTTTAATTTTTTCCCATTAGAAAAATGGAGTTGCTTCATATTTGGTCATTTGCTGTATATCCCAAATACCCCAACTCTCCCCACCACTTTTCTCTACTGTAGTTTATTTATTTATTCTTAAGTTTTTGTTTTTTTTTTTCATTTTAGAGAGACAGCATGAGTGGTGGAGAGGGACAGAGAAAGAAAATCACAAGCAGACTTCATATGAGGCTCAATCTCATGACCTGAGCTGAAATCAAGAATCGGATGCTCAACTGACTGAGCAACCCAGGTGACCCTCTCTGCTGTAATTTAATCCATCAGCAAAATACCCTTCCAACTGGTTTCCCTGCTTCCCATTAATTTTCTTTTCTTTTTAATGTTTTATTTTTATTTTTTGAGAGAGAGAGAGAGAGAGCGCGAGCGAGCATGAGAAGGGAAGGGTCAGAGAGAGAGGGAGACAAAGAATCTGAAACAGGCTCCGGGCTCTGAGCTGCCGACACAGAGCCCAACACGGGGCTCGAACCCACAAAAGGTCAGATTATGACCTGAGCCGAAGTCCGTTAATTTTCCACTCTATGGTCAGGTTAAGCTTTTTAAAATGTAAATCAGGGGGCGCCTAGGTGGCTCAGTTGGCTGGGCATCTGACTTTGGCTCAGGTCATGATCTCATGGTTCATGGGTTTGAGTCCCATGTCGGGCTCTGTGCTGACAGCTCAGAGTCTGGAGCCTGCCTCATGGATTCTGTCTCCCTCTCTCTCTGCCCCTCTCCTGCTCACACTCTGTCTCTCTCTCTCTCAAAAATAAATAAAACATTTAAAAAATGTAAGTGAAATGTAAATCAGATAATTTTATTATTATTTAAATTATCTGAATCAATTTAAACTCCTTCCTATTGCTTTCAAGTTGATGTATGATCTAGTTCCCACACTCCCACACTCCCAACCTCTATCTCCCTGACACAAGGCCTTTCTTTTTGCTTCATAAAGTAACTAGGTCCCTTCCTGACTTAATATATTCATATTTATCATTCTTTTATTAATGTTTATTTGGAAAGAGAAAGAGAAAGTGCAAGGAGGGGAGGGGCAGAGAGAGGGAGAGAAAATCCCAAGCAGGCTCTGCACTATCTGTGCAGACTGACACAGAGCATGAACTCACAAACCATGAGATCATGACCTGAGCCAAAATCAAGAGTTGGATGCTTAAATGACTGAGCCACCCAGGCGCCCCCTTATTTGTCATTCCTTTAAGGAACACTTTCTGCCAATTCAGATAGTTTGCTCATTTCAGTCTTCATATCTAGAACTGGCTCCTCCACATAACCTGTTGTGAACCAAATGTTTGCATCCTTCCTTAAAATTTCTATGTTGAAGCCTTAACCTCCAGTGTGGCAGTATTTGGGAATGAGATCCCAAAGGAAGGAATTAAGGGTAAATGAGACCATAATGGTGGGCGCCTGATCCAAAAGGATTAGTATCCTTATCACAAACACCAGAGCACTCCTTGGCCCCTACTCTACCCACACGCATGAATGAGGAAAGGCCATTCGAGGGCAAAGCTACAAGGCAGCTGTCTAAAAACCAACTTCATCAGAACTCGATCACGCAGGCACCTTGAGCTTGGACTTCCAGCCTCCAGAACTGTGGGAATAACTTTCTGTGGTTTACCAGCCTGTGGTACTTTGTTATGGCAGCCTGAGGAGACTAACATACTCTCTACCATATTATTATCTACCCAATTTATTTCTATGATAGCACTTTCAGGATCTGGGTTTTATCCTGGTTATTTGAGAACTTGTTCACTTTTATCCTCCCGTGAGAAACTAAGCACCGTGTGGGCAAGGAATAGATCCCTAATGCTCACTATTATACCCACACCATTCAGCACAACACCTGAAAAATAATACGAAAAATCAACATATATTCCATTTTCTATGAACTGCTAAAGCTGTTGTGCAGGAAAGTTAGCTCCAGGCCTGACAGTGCCATGCAAAGACCCAACTACTTGCAAGATTGCTCTTGGCTGGCACTTGGGAACCTGGGTTTCTGGAGTGTTCCTACCATGCCCCAGGTGATAAAAGGGGCTCCCTGTGCCTGGACTGTGCACAAACAAGGTCGTTTATGCTGAGCACTTGGTCTCCTGAGAATCTGAAAATGCTGGTATGTGTTAGGCAGAGGTCCCCATGACCAGCCCCAGTAAAGCCGTGGGTGCTGGGTCTTTAGTGACCTTCCCTGGGCAGAAATACCACACACATTACTGCATTTTCATTGCTGGAGAAGTGAGCTCTGTGTGACCCTCATGGAGGGAGCAGCACAGGAAACCTTCACCTGGATTCCTCCAGACTCTGCTTGTGCCCTTTCCATGGTGATGCAGCTGTGTGTCATCATGTCACTCTAATACACTTTAGCCATTCCTACAACATCTGCGGTCCCAGTGACGCTCTGAGCATGGTGGTGTTCTTGGAGACTCAGACGTGCAGGCCTTGTGAATTTTGACTACTAACTTTGCACTCACTGCACTGCAGTAAAACATATATGTTCATTATTTAAATGCGGAGTTAAAAAAAAAAATTGGATGCAAACGTTTAACTTCTTAAGTAAATTCAATGCTTCTGGATGGTATTTTCTAGGTCTTTTACTTTTTAATCACATTAGTAATCACTCAAGTGGTAGCTATCAATGAGAGAGGGGCACATAAAAAAAACACAAGAGGTTTCTCAAACTAAAAACTTAAGTTCTAGAATTCTACATTTTAAAACCACGTATACACCACTTTACTGAATCAATTTTACTGGTAATGGATCCATAATACATGTCATTAGAAAAAAAATCCCCATGTGATCTAATGCACACCTGGCTAAAAACACCTGTATTAAAACAATGGGCTTGTGGAGAGATGTTTGTTGAATGAATACTGTCTAACACAGAGCCAGATATATAACTACAAGCCTGTGTCTGTGTGTGCACACAAAGCTCAGAGACCAACCAAGTAAAGAATATGACACAGACTTTAATCAGTCTGAAGAGGACTTTAGAAAAAAGGTGAGAACAACTGAGCTGGAGCAGTCAAGAAACATTCCATGTGTGTGAATGTGTATGTGAAAACAGAGTTTGTGCAGAAAGGACTAAGATAAAGCACAGCACAATCAAACAGATGCAGAGAAGAATAAATATTTCATCTGAAAACACTGAGAAATGTTCAAACGGAGTTGACCATGAATCTGAGGAAAGGGGTAAACAGAAGAGGCTGCACAGA